GAGGGGGAGGCCTTCAAGGAGATGGATTGATACGGTGGCTGCGATGATGGGCTCAAGTATAGCAGGGATTGTGGGGCTGGCACGGGATCGGGCAGTGTTTCGTTCTGCTGTGCATGGGGTCGCTATGAGTCGGAAACGACTCGACGGCACTTAACAACAATTTAACAAGTAATATTGAAGGAAGAGTCCTGGTGGCACACTAGTTAAGCATTTGGCTGCGAACATGAAGATCAGTGGTTTGGACCCCCAATTGCTCTATGGGAGAAGGATGTAGCATTCTGCTTCTGTAAAGATTACAGCCTTGGAAACCCTATGGGGCTGTTCTACTCTGTACTGTGAGTCCCATCAGTCAGAATTGACTTGACAGCATACACAACAGTAAAATTGAACATGCACATACTTTATAATTCAGAAATTCTACTCAAAGACATGTATTAGAAACTCTGGCATATGTGCAACAGGAGACAAACAAGAATGTTAATAGCAGTCCTTCCAAAAATATCCAGCAGGAAAATGGACTAATAAATTGATAGGGTGAAACAATGGGATATTATGCACCAGTAAAACAAAACAACTACTTCTACAGAAAACAAACATCACCTAGTGTGGTATCAATGTCTTCCATGCAGCATGCCTCAAACTGTAGCGTGTATACAGGTTTCTCCCACTATTTGAAAGTAGAGCATTCCTATGAAACCTTTCCTAAACCAAAATGATGTAAAGCAAAGAAGTAATTACCACCAACTTAAACCAAAAAATCCAAACCCACTGCCAGCAAGTTGGATCTGACTCATAGTGACCCCTCGGGTTTCCAAGGCGATATCACTACGGAAGTAGATTGCCCAACCTTCCTTCCAAAGAGTGGCTACATGGGAAAATTTTTTGAGCATTTCCAGACCCCAAAAATAACCTATCGAATCATATCAAATAAAACCTAAAATAACACTAACACATAGAGTTCACAAACACAGTTGCTGCTGAGCATAGTTCTGGGGAAGGAGCTTGGCAATACCACTCTTGCTCCAAGTAGGCTGCTGCAAAGGCTGACTGCAGAACAAACGCTCAGTGCTAGTTTTGCTTTTTGCTTTTTGTAATCTTCTTTGGATTTCTTTCCCTAAGCCAAAACAAGTACTAAAGTAGTTCGTCTTTCCTAAAAGCAAAGTGGTGTAAAATGAACTTCCAAAAAGTAATAATTACCTAGCGCTCTTGTTAAACTGCAGATTGATTCTGTAGGTAAAGGAAAGGGCCTGCGATTCTGCATTTCCAATAAGCTCTCTGCTGGTCCACAGGCTGCATTTTGAAATAAGAAGGTTCTACAGTATATTTATGACTGCATGTATAGTGACTAAACTTTCTTTTTTAATAAAAATGTGAATAATTAACACAACATTTAAGAAAGTAGATACCTTTAACTCTGGGGGAGCCACGGGCTGGAATGGTTGTGATGATGTTTTCTTAAAGTGGCTGTTAGGTTCATGAGTATTCATTATATTTTATAACTTACATGTTATATATGGATTATTTTCCCTATATAAAATATTCTATTTAAAAAGATAAGCATACAAAATAAAACAAGAGGATCAGCGGAAAAGCTAGGTGGCGTCAAAGGCCTGAGCAAATAAAGGAGAGAGTCACGCAGCGATACAATCGGATAGTTGTAACATACAGCTTTTGCCGAATACCGTTAAACGAAATTCAGTAATTCGGTGACGAGAAATTCACTGTCCGGCTACTTTGTTTGAGCCCAAAGGGTTACGACTTGTACTTACAGTCCAAATTTCTCATACTTGCTAGGTAGGTTTCAAAAATCACCTGAAACTCTGTTAACAATACAGATTTCCAGGCATTTCCCCTGTACATTTCGGTTCTATGTGTCAAATAGGCCGTCCTGGAATCAGTATTTAATCTGGGAAAAGCTGTGCTCGCCGAAGGACAGGATGCAGAAAGGGGCAGAAGGCCGGCTTTGGAAAGTTCTCTTACCAGGTTGGGAGGAAGCCAACGGTCAAAGAGCACAGTAAACAAAGCAGCGCTCATCGTCTTTCCGGGAACCAGACTCTACACCTCTTCCTGGGGAGACTCTCTCTAATATTCCGGAAGAGCTAAAGTCCGAACAGCGGAAATGAGCAAGGTACTAGTGATTGCCCTGGGCTATTTAAACCTGCCGGACTAGCCTCAGGCCAGCCCCACAGCCTCTCCCCCAAACTTCTTCCCCCTCCCTCCGAGAACGGGAAGATGAGAAGAAACGCGAGAAACAAGTAGGAGGCGTGGTCCCACCCCAGCCAATGGAAGGTGAGGGATTGACTTTGAACTCTTCTTTCATTGGCCCGGGGACCTGGGACTTCTGCGCAGAGGCGGAAGTCGCGCTTTTGCCGCAACATGCCTCTCAGCTGCTAGTCTCGCTGTTACTGCTCCCTCCATCATGGTTCGGAAGCTAAAGTTCCACGAACAGAAGCTGCTGAAGCAGGTAGACTTCCTGAATTGGGAGGTCACTGACCACAACCTGCACGAGCTGCGTGTGCTGCGGCGTTATCGTCTGCAGCGGCGTGAGGACTACACGCGTTACAACCAACTGAGCCGTGCTGTGCGCGAGCTAGCTCGGCGCCTGCGCGACCTGCCCGAGAACGACCCGTTTCGCGTGCGGTCCACGGCTGCACTGCTGGATAAGTTGTATGCGCTGGGCCTGGTGCCCACACGCGGCTCGCTTGAGCTCTGCAATTTCGTTACAGCCTCGTCCTTCTGCCGCCGCCGCCTGCCCACTGTGCTTCTCAAGCTGCGCATGGCGCAGCACCTCCAGGCCGCCGTGGCTTTCGTGGAACAGGGCCATGTGCGCGTAGGGCCAGACGTGGTTACGGACCCCGCCTTCCTTGTCACGCGCAGCATGGAAGATTTCGTCACCTGGGTAGACTCGTCCAAGATCAAGCGGCACGTGCTGGAATACAATGAGGAGCGTGATGACTTCGATCTGGAAGGCTAGACGGATTCCTAACTTTCTACGGTTGCATTTTACAGATGGGAACATTCAGGCCCGATGCTGGAGATTCTCTGAGGGAGCTGCCCTCGAGAATGTAAGCGGGTTTTCGGTTCCCTCCTGCCGTTTTTAGGGAGCTTGGTTCTTCAGCTGCAGGCCACGCATAGAGCTAGGGCTGGGAGGTGCGCCCGTTACCGTTTTCCAGGAAATTTCCTAAGAATTTGGACTACTGATAATTAAATAGGAGACACTGCTTTAGGAAACAGTGGGAGGCGGATTTGTGACATTCTGGGAGTTCTTATACCCGAAAAATTGTAATATGGATTCATTTCACGCTCCTCCCCCCAAGTGTTCCCGTTTTTCGTCTTGTAGCCGGACTGTTTGGTTCACTTTATTTAACTTGAGTTCTTGTGCCTGTTCATGCTTAAATTGTGTACCAGCATTGGGGAGTTTGGTCTCAAGTTTTCAAAATGATCCCTAAATGTCCAGGTTCGTCTCCCTTGTTTAGAAGAATGCTATCCTGATGCCAATAAATGGCTCCATTGCTTTGTAAGTGCAACTGTTTGTCTAATTTTCTTAAATAGGGTCATATATGTAGAGCTCCATAGCTCAGGAACCCTGAGAAGAGAAATAGGGTCAGTAGCGATCTCTGCCTGTGGGTGAGGCCTTTAACAAGAGCGGCATGTGGAGGCTGCAGGATGTTGCTCAGGGCTAAGCAAATTTGTCAGTTTACCAATCCATTGCACATCCCTTCCTGGGAATGAATGTTTTGGCAGCGCTCTTCCCCACAGGACTTCCTGTTGATACTCCAGCCCCAGGAAATACCACGTTAGAGAGCTAAAGTGTTTGTTTGCCTAGGAAAATCATTACCCTGTAGATAGGCCATCTAGTGGTTAGACGTGGCCCACGAGGTTCCTGGAAATTTAGATATTCTTAAGAGTATGTGTTTATTATCCAAGACTTCTAAAAAAGGAATAAATAGAATGCTGAGACCAATGGATTAGCTTTTAGATGTGCCATCTCCACTTCTCAGGCAGCATTTGGTGAAGGAACCATGAAGGGAGAGTGTCACGGGATGATAATAGCAAATGTTCTACATGTCAGGAACGGTTTTAACTGCATTACATGCATTGTTGTTGTTGTTGTTGTTGTATGTCGTCGAGTCAGTGCCGACTCTCCTTGGGTTTCCGAGGCAGTATCACTACGGAAGTAGGACTGCCCAACCTTCCTTCCGAGGAATGGCTGGTGGGTTTGAACCGCCAGCCTTCTGGTTAGCAGTCAAGTGCCTTAGGCACCATGCTACCAGAGCTCCTACATGCATTACCTTATTTAATCTCAGTCCTATGAAGTACGGAATCCAATTATTCCCCACTTTTCAGATGAAGGACCTGAGGTCAAATTACCCAAAATCACATATCCAGTATCTTGCTCCCCTTTAGAAACTGCCAGTGTCAGCACAGCTAGCCCTTGAGGTGTGTCAGGCTTCAGAAACTGAGCTTGAGTTTCCAGGCCAACAGATGAAAGCAGCAGCACTAAGCAATGTGATTGGTCCCACTAGGGCGCTGCATAAAGGTTTGAGTAGAGAGCAAGGGAAAGCTTCAGAGGGCAGGTGAGGTGATGATATACAGGTTAGGGAAGGAAACGAACACTCTGAGGTCCTGCCTGGGCTAGGCTGCCAATTAGTTTTCCCAACAACCCTGCAGGATAGGTGGTGTTATCCCTACCTTTCAGAGTGGGAAATTGAGAATTGGCACATGAATTTCACCAAGTCTGCAGATCCAGTCTAATTTCAAAGTTACCTTGATGGAAGCTCCTTTAGGAGTAAAATAAAAGATTCTTTAGCTAAAGTTTTCTTTCTCCCTTTATTGGCTTACCAGAACCTGTAGCCAGAAACTTTTGGGTTAAAAAAAAAAAATCAAGTCAGTGTTTCAGAGGACAGGTTGTGGAGCCAGATGGCTTAGTCTGATTTCTGGCTCCTATGCATAACTAGCTGTATAACATTGATTATTTTACTTAGCCTCATGTACTTCCATTGTCCTCATCAGAAAAATGGGGATAATAATGGCACTGATTGTTTTTTTTAATTGTAGAAAGGATTATATTATTTAATTCTCACAAAGTGCTTATAATTGTTCCTGGCATATGGTAAGCACTTAAGGATTAGAACCTCCTTTCTTCCCAGCCCCTCAACAAAAGAAATAGACAATGAGTTAGAAATGTTGCAAAAAGCCTGAAAGATTTTAAAACGAAAAACTATATATACATCATGGTTCAGAAGTTCCATGAGCTGAAGGTGTTTGAAGCAGGTAGACTTCTGAGTTGGGAGGTCACTGACCACAACCTCCATGAGCTCTGTGGGCTGCAGCAGCGTGAAAACCTTTGTATATCTATATATACACACACATATATAAAATCACATACTCAGTTGGGAGGAGTGTAAATTGGTACCACCTCAGAAGAGCAATTTTACCATATCTATCAAAAACCATAAATACATGCATTACACATCCTCTGACCTAGAAATTCCACTTTGAAAACTCAGAATGAGTAAATTATGATTTTGCAAAAATCCACTACAGGGGCTTAAGTCATAGTGATTATAATAGGGAAAAATTGTAAACCTAAGGGACACTGCTTAAATTATTCTCATAATGAAACACTGTGCAGCCATTAAAAATAACTGTAGCAAGATACTTAAGGACTCAAAGTTAACATTTAAATGAAAAGTTATAAAATGGTACCAATATAAATCCATTTTCTAAAGACAAATGTAAACAGAAAAAAAAGCTAATGCACGTAATATTGTCTCTGGGTGGCGGTATTACTGGTGATTTTAATACATTAATGTAATTGTGTGATCTTAATTTATCTGAAGCTTATACATATGATAAGTTTTGGCAAAAGAAATGTTTACTAAAGCAGTGTTCTTAATCAAAGAGCAATGAAATGGGCTCATTAAAGGAAAAAAAGATTGATGCTAAACAAGTAGCCCTCAGAAAGATGCTTGGACAAAGAACTTGTGAACTGAGAGTCATTTCTTCCCCAAATCCAGTGAGTCAGAAAAGTCTGCTTTCCCTGACCTCTGGGAGCCTCGTGTGCTATCTCAGCTTAGGCTAGTTTCTTGGAAGGCTTACATGCATGTAAAACTGAAGCACAGTTTTTATGAAACTGATGCCTCTGGTGTTTTATATTTCATTCTCTTTGTGTGTGTGTGTGTGTGTGTGTGGGATTTGGGTGAATGTTTACAGAGCAAATTCGTTTTCCATATAGCAGCTCACACGCACTTTGTCTCATGACATTGACTGCAATTTCCCACAATGCAACAGCTTCCCTCTCAGTTCCTCCCCGTAGTTACCTCTTCCCTGTGTCCTTACCTCCATGCCATGCATTCCTACCTCAAGTGTCTCCCTGTGCATACACAGCCCTTCTGTTCTCCCATGATTGATCTCTCAAGGAGTATATCTACCTAATGTAAATGTTCAGCTCATATGCCTGTCTTTTGTTTGGCTGGAAGCCACAGGTGTGGGTTCAGTTTCAGATCTGAAGGGCAGCTAGGGACCATCGTCTCAGTGGTTCCACCAGGCTCTATCAGACCAGCAAACCTGGTCCCTTTTTTTTTTCCAATGATTTTGAGTTTTGTTCCACATTGTTCTCCCACTCTATCCAGGATCTACATAGATCCCCCTCTGAGTGGTTGACAGTGGTAGGCATGCACCATCTATTTCTTCTGGACTTATATAGGCTGAAGATCGCATAGTGTACCAGTCCCGTGGACTAATTGTTACCATATGTCTTTGGTTTTCTTAATTCTGCTTTGCTCAGGATGAGGAAGAGACCCATTGTTGAATCTAGATGACCACTTGCAAGCTTTTAAGATCCCAGTCACTACTCGCCAAAGTAAGATGTGGAATGATGTTTTTTTGTAGTATGTTATGCTAATTGAGCTTGATGTCCCCTGTGATTATGGTCCTGAGCCCACAGGTCCAAGTACTTGCTCCCTCTGGGTAGCTGGCTGTAGCCAGTAAGTGACTACAACCTTGTCCCTTGTCAGCTCTACTATATACCTGGGTCTATTCCATTCACTAAATGCTGATCCTAACCCACTAAGTTTCTTTATAATCCAGTAATCCAAAACCTTTGATTGGAATTTGAAAGTTGAAGTTTGAAAAAGTGCCTTTGAAGAAACTTCAGGTAGATGGACTCCTTGGAGAAAGCAATCATGGGACAGTAGAAGGGTTGTGTACGCACAGGGACATAGCTCAGGGGGCAGGAGTGCATGGAGGCAAGGACACAGGGAAGAGGTAACTACGGGGAGGAAGGCTCAGCACAGCCAGGCATTGTGGCATTTCCCAAGTTCCAGTCATTCCTAACCATTATCACAATAAATAAATGCCACAGACATCATTTGTACTTGTTATTTTCTTAACATTTTTCTTTAAATCATAACACTTTTCTTTTTATTTTAAAAGGAAACTGTCCAAGGAAAACCTATAAGGATATTAATCTTTCAGAGTCACACTAACAAATCTGAGAGAGTACGCAAGATAAATTGCTTTGATGCCTGTATAGTGAGTAACCATTATGTGGCCTTTCTAGTCATGGTTTGCTGACTCCCACAAAATGACTGGGTGGGGCTATGCAAATAAAGTGCTTGTGGCCAACCAAGGGAACTGGATAATTTTTCCAAGGCAAATAAGATGCATGGAACTCTTTGGAGGTGGGTCTATGCAAATAAGGTACATGGAACCCTTGTAGGGGATTAGTTGGTCTGTGGTCTTGCTGGGAGGAGGCACACCTTGAAATTGGTAAGGAGCCTGCTCTATAGTCAGCTTCCCAGACAGAGGTTTTAGGGAAAGACATGGAGAGAAAGAGAAGGGGCTATAAGACTGAAGACCACAAGAGACAGGCAAGAGTGGTGAGGAACAAAGAGACTGGCACAAGGTGGCTGCACTAAGCTTCCCGGCCCACAAAACAAGGCGGCAGCAGAGCAGTAAGAAGCTGTCCTG